AACAAGTTAACCACAATTTATAGCTTCATACTAATAAAAGTATAAAGAAATAAGTGAAAATGACTCAAAGTGGGAATGAAAAGAAATTATAATAACTAAACGACGCAAAAAGAGCATTTTATGTTTTAAATTCTCAACACATATCAGTATTTAATAATAAGATTAACAAAAAATATTCAATATTGAGTTCGTTTGAAGGCATTCACAAAACAATTATAATTGTCTAACTTGTTAAAATAAAAACGTATTTTGTTAACATATTTTATTTAATATACAATTATGTATGTTAATGTGATAATAATGTAAAATGAAAAATAAAAAAATTTAAGGATATACTAAAAAATTAAATAATTAACTATAAGAGTATATATTGTAAGTATTAAAAAATATTTTTCCCGTACTATATATGATAGATAATAATATAATTAAATTCAAAAATATTCAATATTGTGTTCATTTCAAATGTATTGAAAATACGATTATAATAATATAATTAAATCAAATAATATTCATTATTGGGTTAATTTTTGTAGAGATTGACGAGACGATTATAACGGTGTAATTTGTTAAAATAAATTATGTACTATAAATTAAATAAATTACTATAAAAGTATAAAGTATAAATATTAAAAATATTTTTTCATAGTATATATAATATAAAATAATATAATATAATTAAGACAAAAACTATTCAATATTGAGCTCATTTCGAAGGTATTAACGATACAATTATAATAGTGTAACTTATTAAATTAAAAATGTATTTTTTAAACATGTTTTAATTGATATACGATTATGTATGTTAATTTGATAAATGTGTAAAATGAAAAATTTAAAAGGAAATGATGTAAAGTAAATTAAAATTAAAATTGTAAACATGTTTTAAACATCTTGGTTTTTTAGACTTTTCCCTTAATGGACTTTAGTGTTTGGAAAGGATGTAAAGTCCAAACATTAATGTATTTTTTAAATACGTTTTAATCATTTCAAACACTAAAGTTTATTAGATTTTTTATTAATTTATAAGAATATAAATTGTAAATTTAAAATTAAAATTTTAAAATATTCGGTGCATGCTAGGGGGTGAGTATGGAAGGGTGTGAGTGAGGAAAAGATGTGAGGACTACGGGGTGAGAAGTGACGTAAAAGGGTGGGTATATCAACCCCATTAATACAAGCTGAGTGGGAAAGCTTTGGTCAAATTAATACAGCAGCGAGTTGAATCAAATAACTAATAGAAAGTAACCTAAAAGAATTGTTGACATACAATCCTGACATTAAATAATTACAATGTGAAAATCATGACTTAATTAATAATCACTTATATATATATATATATATATATATGTTGTTATGTAAAGATATGATTTGTTAATCTGAATCTGCTGACACTTTTCTCTATTATTCTGATGGGTAAGAGTTTCTCAGTGAAGGTGATTGAGAAGGTGGTGGTGGGTGCAGAAGAGCCATGGAATGATCGGTGGTTACCCTTCACAAACCTGGACGTGGTTCTCCCGACTTTTGATGCTGCTTCTTTCTTCTGCTACAACAAACCCTCCCATGGAAGTAGTTTCCCCACCATGCTTAACACCCTCAAAGCTTCCTTATCTCAAGCTCTCACACTCTTCTATCCTCTCGCCGGTGACATCCAATGGAATGCAGCTGCCGGAGAGAATCAGATTCACTGCAACAACCAAGGCGTCGACTTCACCCATGCCGTTGCAGATGTGCAGCTGAAGGAACTCGATTTCTACAATCCAGATGAGAGCATTGAGGGTAAACTAGTACCCAAGAAGCTACGTGGGGTGCTTGCTGTCCAGGTATATATATATATATATATATATATATATATATTATTAGTCACTACTCACTGGCTAATTCTATATAACTTATACAATCATGTTAACAGTTCATCTGATGATAACTAAAAGTAATTGAGGTTGTTTCTTGGTTTCTATGCACATATGCGTATCGGACAACTTGCTTATCAAATTACTTGTATGTAAATGTGCATACCGTTTAGAGAAATGGTTACCGAGGTGTTCTTCAGTTTTTTTCGGTTTTCTTCATAATCTAACCCTATATATATCCCTATGAAAAACCGAGGAACATCTTAATAATCATTCATCAGTACAGTATCTACGTATGCATACAACTAATTGAAGATGTTTTCTGGTGGCTGTACTTGTATTATTATATTTGTCCCTACGACTCGTCGTCTTAAAAAATTGTAATAGCATTGTCTACCAAAAAAGTGCAGGTTACGGAGTTAAAATGCGGAGGGATGGTGATAGGGTGCATGTTTGAGCATAAGACAGCGGATGGATACTCGGCTAACATGTTTATCTCAGCATGGGCGGACATGGCTCGAGCGAAAACCCCATCTATGTTACCCTCCTTTTCGAGGTCGGTCCTGAAACCGAGGAGCCCACCTACTTATAGTTGTTCGTCAGTGTTCGAGCATATTGTTGCTACGCTTGAACCATCACTCATGCCAGATAATGATGAAAACCAGAATGATGATGATCAACTCATTAACCGTGTATACTACATGGAGGGTGAGCAAATCAACAAGATACAGTTGTTGGCAAGTGAAAATGGGAGTAAGAGATCGAAGTTTGAGGCGTTCATCTCTTTCTTGTGGAAGGCAATTGGGATGAGCATGGAAGAGTTGGGAAATGAGAAGGAGAGGTACTGTAATGTGGCTATTCCAGTTGATGGAAGGAGAAGGTTGAGTGAAGGAGATGGAGAAGAGAAACAAAAACTAATGGCTTCGCACTTTGGCAATGTTGTAACGTTGCCGTTTGGGGGAAAAGGATCGCAGGTAACAAACTTACATATACATATACATATACATATACATATACATATGAGTTAGGTTGATATGAGAATGGTAACCAAATAAGAAAATAAGAACAAGTCGAATCACATATGATTTTATATTAAAATCATGTGTATAATGACCAATTTACAATCACATGTGATTTTGTACATGATCTAATTGTTTTTATATTCTCTTATTTGGTTATAGTTCTGGTTTGAACCTTTTATATATGTATATATAAAAGGAGGAGGTTCAAATAAAAATACCTCTATTTTACGAAAAATGCAAGGACATCCTTATCACATCTAATAATATACTTGAGGGACCAGGTGATAACAACCTAGGTCGAATCAGAGGTCGTACGTGTCTCTGATTTAGTATTACATGTGTATCATATGTAATGAACTATAATATTACATGTGATTGACTATAGTAAAAACTAAAAAGGTGTTCCTGTATTTTTATAAAATAAAGGTGTTATTATTTGAACATTTATGAGAGAGAGAGAGAGAGAGAGAGAATATTCGACTTTCATAAAAAAATGCTTTAATATTTATTAATTAATAATATTGATTATATCAAATTAGTGGGTTAGGATGGATAATATGAATCTCACAAACTTCCAAATTCTCAAATTAGTAATTAGGTATATATGTTTAATGCAAAAGATGATGTGATAAGGGAAGTTACGGTGAAAAATATAAGAAGAGATCTGAATCGTCGATTAATTTTAATATCATGCACACTGATGAATTGTGCTTTAGAAGGAAATTGATTCGGTGCACTTCATTAATGTTGACATTCAATTAGGGTTGATCTAAAGATGGATATATTTTCTTATGCTTCTCATCATAATTTCTCTTCTCGCCATAACCCAACCCTATATGCATATATATATATATATATATATACACACACACACATGGGTGGAGGTCCAAATGAGAATAATTTCGTTTACGAAAACGTAAGAACACTTTTATCACATGTGATAATACATATTATTGGACGTGGTGGCGTGCGGCGGCTGATTTGCCCATGACCTAGGTCACATGTGTTTCTTATTTACCATCACATGTGATCGACTACAGTATCATATGTGATTGACTATAAATAAATGAGGTTTATTGCGCTTTCATAAAATGGTGTATTTGAAACTATATAATTAAAAGAGTTCATAATCTAATCCACTCGATCATTTCGAAACTTTAGGAGTTGGTTGAGATGCCATTGAGCAATGTAGCCACGGAGGTTCATGAGTTGTTGCACACCGTCACTGGAAAAGACCATTTCGTAGACCTGATAGATTGGGTGGAAGAACGACGGTCACATCTACTGATACCAAGAGCATTTGTCAACAAAGACATGACGGTAATCGTGTCGTCCGGACAAAGGTTCCAGTTCATGAATGAGATGGACTTCGGGTGGGGCAAGGTGGCGTTCGGATCATGCCATATTCCACCTACAAGGAAAGACTGTTACGTCATGACATTGCCTGGTCCCATCACCAACAATCAGGATTGGGTTGTCTACATGCATCTGCCAATCAAACATATCAACTACATCGAGGCACATGCAAGTCACGTGTTTAAGCCCGTCAATGCCGATTACCTCAATATTTAACACACTTTCGATCTATCGGTTCAATTCGTGTTGTTGTGTTGTAAAATTAATAATACATTGTATACGTATGCTAAAATTTTAATTGATTCTGTTCCAAATTATTTTTGCTCTTTCATATGTTTATGGGTGAAGGTAAGCGTGTCATTGAGACACAGGTTCCAATTCACAGACAAGATGGACTTCGGGTGCCATAAGAAGGGGGGGGCGAGGGGATGATCGTGCTAAACTTGAAGGAAAGGCTGTTACGTAGCCAATCCGACCAACAACGAGGATTTGATTGTCTACAGGCATATATGCCAATCAAACACTGTTAATTCAATTGATGTGTTTAATATGTATGCATACAGCAACAACCTGTTTGATTAAGCTATGTCCCTACCTATTAAAGGATTTTGTCTAGATTAAGAGATTTTTTTCTCTCAATTTGGCAATGAATGTAAAGTGATTGTTTGGTAAGAATTTTAAATGGCAAAAAATTACCATTCTAACCCAGTATCAGAAAAATCTGGTTAAAAATACAGGGTTGAACTCATTCATTTCCATACCCTGAACCACTCAAGTACTCACCATTCTCTTCAAAATACTCGATCAACCGCTTCAGGAACTTGTCGCTGCTCACTGTCTCTGTATCGCATATGATACAACACTGTCTCCTTGCACGAGTCACGGCAACATTCATACGTCTACGATCACTCAGAAACCCGACCTAGAGTATATATAGTACGTATAAACTTAATCTCAATTTGTTCATTCGACCATATACATGAGTTCAGCCGGAACAAATACCTGTTTCTTTGAGTTTGATCTGACCATTGAAATGATAATGGCTTCTTTTTCCCTTCCCTGGAAGCCATCCACAGTTGAGATTTCCACTTCTTTTAACTTGTCTTCCTTAGTTCTCAGCGTTCTAAGCAATACAACCTACAAAACACAAGACAACCAACGATCCAGGAAGGATTTTTTATATGAAGCTGTGGGTTTTTTACGACGACATTTGATCCGGCTAAAAAGGTCTAGGCCACTAATCACGGCACAGAACGAGTTATACTTTACCTGTGCTGAATAAGGGGTAATGATTCCGATATCAGAAGCACGAACTCCACTTTGAACGAGTCTTTTAGCATGAGCTATAGCAATCTCAGCTTCACCTTCATTTAATGTGCTTTCTTCTTCATCCTTCTTTTCTTCCATGTCACATCTACAATAGAACAGTAGTAATAGCCAAATTACACAATAAACAAACCATCAAAATAATTTTGCTCAACGCTAATTATATGGTAGGACACAAGTTATACTACCAATATGCATACCCTGCAATGTCTATGAGAACAAGAGTAGGTTCTGCTGAAGAAGATTTCTGTACATTCTCGAGTTCATGTAGCGTATGTCCAGCAACACTTGCATGAGCTTTGATCTATAATTATTATAATAACATATATAATCAACAACAGTAAGAAGAATGCATCATGTTACAGTGATACTCCCTCCCTCCCCAAATAAATGTCCACAATGCAAAAGACATACAATTTTAGAAATGTATAACTATTACACTTTGTAATCAATTAAATGACAATTTTACCCTTAATAATAAATGAAGTAATGAATTTTTCCATCTCATAGTTAAGGTAGAGTTGGAAAGTAAGAGACTTATTTTAGGACAAACTGAAATAGAAATATGGACGCTTATTTCGGAACAGATGGAGTACCTTACTGTTGTAGAGCTCCTTGGACGACCAGTTCATTATAAGTTCATGCATGCGGTATTGGACAGTGAGCATAGACATGACTTCATCTCCATACAAGTCCGCAAGGCGCTCGAAGAGAGTCTTTCCCAACCCTTTTTTCTCAGCTTCAACACTCTGGACCGTCGGAGGAAGTTGTAGATGGTCCCCAGAAAGTATACACCTAGAACCCTGTAAAACCAAATTAGATCTACTCATGCTCCATGCCATAAAAGTCTTCTTTGGAGTCATATACATCTAAATACCCAATCAGCACTGAAATAATTGGTGCCCTTTCCATTTTTAGATAACGTACTCGTTTTGGTACCTATTGGAAGTGCCCAAATGGTCTAGAAGGTTGAAACAGTTAATGTGCTTATGGCCAAATCTGTTTATAAGTAATCAGGATAGATAAGGGATGGAATCAAGATTTTTATATAGTTTCTTAGATTGTGAAGTAATGGGGCCAGGGGGATTATAAAAGAAAGGCAGTAATATTCTTCAATGCTCTATAAAAGCTTTTTGCTTCGTTACCTTTAGTAGAGCAATCCAGCAAGCTACCTCAAGTGCTTGAGCAGCTTCATCAATTATCACGACATCAAATGAAGTGCCATCTAATTTTCGCGACAATGAACCTGTCAGTGTGGTTAGAACAACATCTGCATTTTTTATTACATCTGTCACAGCCAACTGCTGCCTCTTGCGCTCTTCTTTGGAAAGCATCTTGAGCTCCTTCCGAATATCCCTCTTTGTGTTTCTGTCTTTAGCTTTCAACAATTTACCATTCAATGCCTGCAAGATCCATCAAGATGAGATGGAAGAGCAAATTTTATGGAAAGTAAAAAACACAGGAATAACATTCAAGTTTTAGTTTTAATAAAAGGAAATTACAAAGCCTTCACAGGAACTGAAGTATCAGTAAATACAAAATATATAGCTTGTAACTCGGACACAGCTGACATTTTTCTTTGGCATTTTATTGGAAGTCTCTTTGGTAGGTTCTGATTGCCCAACATTATAGGTGTAACAAGTTTATCACTATTCAAAAACACCAGTACCTCGAGTATTTCTTGATCTAAACTATGTACTGTCAAGAGAATTGGGAGAAAAAGGGGCACCAACTCATTTGAGCGATCACTTTGATCATCTTATTATCATTCCAGTTTATTTACTTCACTAGACAAGTTCTCATGTAACACGCATGAATACATAGCATAGACAAGCAATGTCTTAAAAAGAACTTACCAAAAGATCTGTGAAAAAGATATGTTCCTGAAGTCATTATACAAATCTCAATTGCCACACACACACACACACACACATGTATATATGATTTTCAAAGTAAGGAGCCGCTGCATGAATTACATTGCTAACTTGTAGTAGTATGAGAAATATTTAACTTGATGATGAAAAAGGCAGCGACAATTGGAATTCTCAAAATTATTTACCTTCATTTCTTTCCGGATGTCATTTGCAAGAGAGCTATTATCCCCTCGTAACACCTAGGATCAACCAACCAATAATAAGTTAAACTAACACACCAAGAGAAACAATATCAAATGGATCCAAGTGATGCTCCATCTGCCAACAAAACTAATTTTAATCCTTAAAGAATTGAGAAAATAGAAAACAACAATAATTCCATATGCTCAAGAAACAAAATTTCCATCCCTAAAGAGGTGAAAAAGAGAATCCGATAACAAAAACAAATGATCATTGAACTTTCATGGTTTTTTCAGTAGCTGACTTGAACAAAAACAATTATCAATCACACGCTTACATTATCACATCAAATCAATAACATTCTTTCCGTCTAATGCTCACAAATCTAAGTAAATTTCACAATCATATGTTTAGTTCACATTTCGCAAGCACTGCTTCCTTTCAGTATATATATCTCCTGGCTTACTACCCTACCTCTCAAGCACCCTTCCTTCGGTTTAGACTAGCTACAGGTCTCTACCCTAGTCTGCTATCCTAATCTTGCATCTCCAAGAACTCCCTTAATCTTGACTTTAATTTGTTTTTTTGAAAACAATCAGACGAAACTGATACACTTCATATGATTGAGAAAGTCGGTCTGTAACTGACAACTTTTTTCTTTGGGTATGGAAGTGAAAAACTAAAAAAAAACTCGGTGATCATTTTATTTATTTTGCGCAACAATAAATATACAATAAACAGCTTGCAAACATTGTTCCTGCAGAATTAGCATTTCTGTCACTAGCTTGGCTTGTGAACTATAATAGAAGATCTACCACGCCTATTAAGAGAAAAGAAAAATAAATTTCATAGAGAAGGATATTATTACCCAATGCCATTAACACTTGCTTTAGCATGTTCATCAGGACCATAGCAAACCAAATGGTACGACAAACTTACTAGCTATTGAAAAAAGATCAGTGTCATAAAAACATCTTGATTCTATTGCTCTTAAGAGGTTTAGGTGATCCTTACCTGTGCATCAAGAGCACTCTCTAATACTTGAGGTAGTAACCGTGCAGGATGTCCCACTCTCACCAACTTTACTCTAATCCAGAAATTAACCACTAGTTTAGTAATTGAGATTCTTGCAAAGCAGTAAATACAATGCTTATCACCTTAAACGCAAATGTAGAATTTAGCTCGATAGCTTCACTACCACATTCACTGTCTATATAGAGTTAAATAATGAGCATAGACCTTGTGCATTATTAAGTACTAGTGAGTTTACAAATCTGAAAGATGTGTGCAAATTTGTGCCATCAGAGGTATATTCTATGTCCTATATTATAAGTGCCCTTCAATAAAAATATTGATAATAAAGGAATCTTGATATACTTGTGATATATATCATTATTTCACTAGAAGTCGCTTCATGTATTATCCAAGTGGCATGTGAGTTAATTACATATATTCACTTTCATGAATCTTATTCAAAACATCTGTACAAACATACATGGGAGCCTCTCCATGCATAGTAGAGAATGAAGAGACCGAGTCATCTAATACCTATGTGAGTGTCAGCAAGTGGCTGTCACAATCCTACATAGAAACTATATGGGATACAGAATGACAGATGGCATGTCATTGATTTCTAAGCTGGGACAAGGGAATTGAGCTCCCACCCATAATGAATAATAGTTGAGGAAGCAAGTACATCGTGTCTTTCTCACTCCAGTCCAGTGTCATAAACCGGTGTAACATTGTCATATGGTGACAGACAAGTAAAGAGCATGTAAATGAACTATTCAACCACCTACTTCCTCCATAATGAGAAATTTGTTACCTGTGAGGAACAATTCGTTCAACAATGTTGTCAACAGCAATATTAGAGGCTGCACAAGCAAGAATCTTTGATCCACGCTTCACTTCTTGAAGGATAATTTCCACCACAGTTGTTGTCTTTCCAGTTCCAGGAGGTCCATGCAGCAAGAATAGGTCTTTTGATGATAGGGCTTTTCTAATGGCATCTTTCTTGGAGAAAAAAGAGATACTGTTATTTAGTCTGTGTAAACAGGTGGACTATGAAACCACAAATCAAAAAAAATTAAACATGTGGACACATCTATTAAAGAGATGGATATGACTATTGAACATATGCACATATCAAGATAAGCGTCCAATGGGCACTAACATCTACAAGTCAGCAGCTAACACCATCTGTGACAGGCCTACAACTAACATGAAATTGCCAAAGTGGTTCCAGGACATATATTGCATCTTCCACACACTTCTATCTAAATCCACCTCCTTTAATACATTCCAATCAATCTCTCTTCGGTGTTCACTACTTCTCCTCGTGTCAATCTTGGTAGACCTCTACCTCTACCTCTTCTAAGAACCTCCTCTTGGCATGACTGTTGAAAACTAGAACTACTACCTCCGTTCTGATAAACAAATCCTTGTGTGACTTCAATGATGAAACAAAATACCTCCCAGAATTTGGTAAGCATATTGACCACAAAAGTCAAATATGGATAATCGTATTTGTAACAGGGGGGGCACTTCATAGAACGAGGTGATTATAATGTACACCCATCCTTCCACGGCTTCAACATGTTGCCGTGTGTGTCCATATATATATGCAAAAGAGAAGTGAGGAAAGAGGTTAAATACCTGAGAGTGATCAAGGTTTTTATTAAACAGAGTGAAGGAGACATCCTTTTTCACTACTGTTGGAAGTCTCTCTCCAAATAAGACAGGAACCAAGTCCGCAGCTGGTCCCCTTTGAATACCTTTACTTAGTTGTATCAATGTGTCCTTCATTCTGCGATATGTCACCTACACACATGCAAAGGTTCTAAATATTTGAATACAAAACTTTTAATGATGAGTGTTCCCTAAAGAAATGATCTTCTATCTTTAGAACAATGTCCAACACTCAAATCATGATCTATAAACACCATTACACAAGCATATAAAAAATCATGTGGAAGTTTGATGATAGAAGGAAGACAGAAATTGCATGAACTAATTTTGAACTGTTTGCTATTAAGCTGAAAGTGAAGTAGTTAAAATTGTAGACGAAAAAGTATACAAAAGAAAGAAGGGTCAACAGATACATCACTATGCATATTTAAAAATAGAAGTAAGATTTAAATAGTATGAACAATGTACCTCATTAGCCACCTTCTCAATGCGTAAAGGACTATTTAAACCTTCTTCTGGAATATCATCAAAAGCAATGGTGATTGATGAATCCTGCAAAATGTAATATATGTGTCTCAAAACCCAGGATAATAGACAAAGGTGTAATTGATTCGAGAAGAAAAGGAACAACCTTCAGTCGATAAACAACACCTTGTCCGAGGGCAGGAGCACCTAAATCAGCCTTGTTTGGTTTTAGAACAACAACATCATGAGTCCCAAACTGCAAAGATAAAAGACCCGTAAGCTTAAGAAAACCAGAAAGACAAATTGAAATATATATTAGAAAAGAGCTCTCCTTGGACAGCGATATAATAACATAAATGTCCCTATATAAAACTAATGGGAAAAAGTAACTGTTTCTGTTCATCTGGAAGTGATTCAATAAAATTAGGATGTTAGGCAGACACAAGTAAATAGCAACCAATTGTCGTACATTACCCACAATACAGGAGCTACAAATATGGGTTTTAATAGATGAAGCTGACAAAGTATCTGATGATAATTAGACAATAAGCATAAAAAGGGCCTGCAAAACTACATTTGAGACTTAGAAAAAAGAGAGGATATTATTAGCATTTATTATGATTATACTGGGAGCAGCAGGGATGCTAGTTCTAGTGATCCTTGCTGAAAAGAACTTTTAGGGCATCTAGCCTTCGAGATTTCAAAGTATTATTAGCTTGAAATATTCTGTGGCTTTTTGGTAGTTTCGATTCATCATGGCTTGGTTTTTGCTCATTATAAATGACTCACTGAAAGAACAAGCAATGAAACAAAAAAGGCCAAATGGTATACATAGATTAAGCAAACATAAATACACTGAACAGACAGCATACTTCTATGCGAAGAACATATCAACCCATTTTTACCTTGTGAGCTGGAAGAACATCTCCTTTGTTCGATTGAAGTTCAAGAAGAGTTTTGCCCATCAACCCCGTCTATGGCAAAGATCAAAGTAAAATGTATCACAACTATAATCGGTAACAGTTTAGCTACATTCAAATAAATAGCGTTAACGTTTTCAGTTAAGCAAAAAATATTTTCAAATGACTTGTAATATGATTTCTTCATTTTTGAAAATTGTGTTGTTCTTTACAGAACTTTGTATGTCATTATGATAATTCAACCTTAGTGGTATAGAATGAAATAAATTCATAAAAACTATCAATCAACAAAATTCAAAATTTGACCGAGACATAAAAATGCTTAGTTTCTTTTGAATTGAGGAAAAAATGCAGCTGGTGATTATAATTTAGAAGTACCAACCTGAACATCTACGCATTTCAAATTAAGAATGGTAGATCCTTTCTTTGATGCAGAATCCAAATTTCTATTAGCACCAGAGCTCATTGAAGCAGATATCTCAGCTTCCTACAATGATCATATAATCACAAAATACCTATCATCAGTCACTAACAATAGAATGATATTAACAAGATTATGCAATATCTATTAGCACAGGTCCTCCTGGATTCAAGTCATGCTTGATACATCATACTAATAAAAATCCCATCTGTGAATTATCAAGAAAAGTGATAGAAATGGGAGAAAAAAGGGACTTAGTCCCTGTCAAATAGATCAGTCAAAGATAAAGCTGTAATAAGGCAGGTATATTGGCAAATCCAAACTAATCAGTAATTAAACCATTACAAGAACTATAGCAGAAAGCCCCGGCAGCCTGCTCCCTCTATTCCAAAAATTATAAACCCACAAGTTTGTTTACTTTGAGTTGAAATAAGATCAGTTTAGAATTCAATTTTATATGGATTTTGTCACAAACTGAACATCAAGATGTTTTTATTTGCAGTATTTATTACAAAGTTTAATGTGGTAATCAACAACTGGAAGAAAAGAATAATAATCCACATGAAATTTAATTTTGAAGTTGGTCCGATTGAACTCAGAAGTAAATCGTATCTCTTATATTCTGGAAGCGAAGGAGCATAATGAAATCACCATTGCAACATTTTCACTGCAATCGTCATTTATACATGTATCACTTGTATACGATTCTTCTTGTGGTTTACAATAAGTACCGCGAATTAAAATCACAAATTAGTAGTCTCTCCGTATCACAAAAGAGTCCACCTTAGTGCCCTTTGTTCCAAACGAAGAACCCTATCTAGTATAAAATAGCATCAAGATCCTCAAGTTAACCTCTAAAAGTAAAATACATCCATGAGCTTGACGAATTTTGAAATGCGCAATCTAATCACCATAGCTAATCCTCCAAGTAAATCAAAAAATTAATGCACATAAATTCTTAGACAAGAATGCAAAGGGTAGAAGTAGAAGGTCGAGTACCTTTTCCATATCGATAAGAGGGGTCATAGTAGAGACAAATTGTTCAACGGATATTGTTTTTGATGACGATGATGATGATTTCTTCATGTTTCTTGTGCTGGCCATGGTAGTGGTTAAGCCGCCGCACTGAAAGAGATCAATGCCGGCGAGAAGGGGCGGGGTTCCGATCAGTCGCAAGCTTTTGGACACGTCTTTGACGGTTTGACCCAACTAATCCTCCTTTTATTGAGTTTCTTGTATTTATACCGTAAAACAAATAAACCGATTATTGCTATTTTATGATTTATTATTATTATTATTAACCTGGATATCCAACCCACTATGCGACACCACCTGCTTTTCAGATAGTCCGGAGTCACCGCATTTGAACTTTCATGCCTACAAGAAGATTTTTATTCCTCTTTAGATTTGAACCGAGAACCTCCGGATACTTTTGACTTTGAGTCAAGATATTTTATAATTTTTTAATGGAGAAAGTCCCAGAAAAACCGTAAACTTTGTTGTTATAAATGATTAAATTTCTTAATTTTTTTAATTAAAAAATAATTTGATTTTTTCATTTTAAATAGTTAAATTTTTTAACAATTATTTTAAAATAAATAATCGAACACTTAAAAATTGGTTACCTACATCTTTTTAACTAAAAAAATATACATGGAATGTGTTTATTGGCTTTCTGCATAAAGCTCCTTCCGAAGTTTCTTAATAAGCCACTTTTTATATCATTAAGTCACTATCAAACAGTTATATGTATATTTGACTGAATAAGATATGAGTTCATTAAGTTACTAAGAAACGACGTATTGAGATCATTTTAAATTATCCATGGGGAATAGCTGATTCATCTATTAGGTTTATGAAATTATAACATCTCCAACAAATTCCTTAAAATTTCTCTAAAATAGAAAAATTAAAATTCAAAATCTCTAGACGAAATTACGTTCAACTTCAACGGCTTTTCCATTTTAGATATTACAACCGTTGATTATATTATATTAAAATATTCCACATATTTACTAAAATATTAGTTTTATCTTCTAAACATTTAATTTCAAAGGTTTTTATTGGTTAAAATATACTAACGAAAAAAATATCCCACAATAATCCATTAAATATTTGGTAAACAACCTTTTTTTTATTAACCTGGATATCCAACCCGTTTTACGAGCCGACTAATCTCAGAGCAACCACTTGTTTTGCAGGTAGCCCGGAGTCACCACATTTGAACCTCCGTGGCCACAAGGGGATTTTTGTTCCTCCTTGGATTTAAACATGGGACCTCCTGGCACTTTTGACCTTTAGAGTCAAGCTCAAACCAATCATGCACCACCCTAAACAACCTTTGAATCTTAGTTAAATCGTTGGCCTTGGCTTAGCCATAGTCAGAGTCAAGGTTCGTCAAAGTAAGGAAACGTTCACTAAACACTTCTCACTTCTTATTAGGTAAATGGTATTGTTCCGATAAGAATAACGTTATTTACTCATATCCTTTAACCCACAATGTTGCTAACCAAGATATTGTTCCGATAAGAAACAAGAGTCTCACTCAGTTAGCATGCAATCCATTGACTTACACAATTTGTTTCGGTAAACAGCCCCTAAATTTTATCCATGTAGACAAACTTCGACCATCAAGTAAAAATTTGGCCTAAACATAGAAGACTGGAGCTCCTATGGATTTAGGCCTATGGCCGGCCAACGGGCCAAAGTTTGGTCATCGTCCCAGTGTTTTTGTTTGATCCTTGGACCGAACAAACACCAGCAAAATAAAAACAAACCAAACAAACTCAGTATATCTACTCAATTACAGTATTACATAGAAACCATAAGCCAGAGAGCAATATAGTATAGATGATTTGGACTTCTTGATGAAATCAGACTTCTTTTCCCATTCATCAAAGATTGTTTAATCAACAATTCTGACCTTTCTTGGTGCTCATTTTTTTGTCCCAGTACAAGTGCTGCAGCGATGAAGCATTGCTCCATGACCGGTTAACCACTGCCATACGAGCCAGAAACAATGGTCAACTATAACTCAATGGTGGACCAGGAGATTGGATCTAGCCATAGGAAGAATGGTTGGTATAAATAACTCGGCTTTGATGCTAGAATTGATTATAACTTTTATAAAATTTATTAGAATTAGTTACAGAATTTACTTTAAAGTTAATATGTCTCAAATATGCAAAGAGTAAGAACTGGTTTAGTTGATCAATCCTGAGATGGTGGCAGTATGACATCTTGCAGCACAACAAGCTTCGCCTGCCCGCCAAATTCTTCTGGCAAGATATCTTCCCCGACCTCTCTGATAAATTGGTTTTTCTCTTCCTCGTTGCCTACTATTACAACCTGCGCAGATTTTAAAGGGTATTATAGGCATCTTATTAATATAAGAACGCTTCTACCAAACTGCATGTATAGTCGAACGTGGCAATTATTACAACAATATGAATTTCATTCTTTTAAATGGAAAGACGAGTAGAATATACCTTCTCTAAAGTTGCTTTTTCCAGGAATCGAGAAACCATCTTCCAAATGCTCACAAAAAACCATGGCATATTTAGTATGTATAACTTTGCTAACCTCTCCGGGTAGTATGCCTATGAGAAGAGAAATCAAGATAACACGAATCAATCAGAACACAACTTTGTCATCACTTAGAAGCTTTGCTAGCAAAGATGATCAATTTAAACGTAAACCCCATTGTGGCAAGAACAAATACTAATGAATCATAATCTGTCAAGTCCCGTATGGATTAAGCTAAATGGTTGTTCAGTTGTGGTGCTGAATAACTGTTTAATAAGTATGCCCGACAAAAATAAAGAAAAAAAGTTACCTGTAAAAACTGAAATCCAGTGATTAGCCCACGAGCATCAACATTTTTGTAACTGAGTTGATTTAAGTCGATAACACCAATCATCTTCTCGTTTCCTACTTCTTTTCCTTTGATTCCACTGAAATGAGCAAAAGAAGATTAAAGTTCGACCCCATTTCTGGATAAGACAGGCAGACGGCTTAATCAAGTTTTTAGGAAAAAAAAAGTTGTTGGTTTCAGGTGTATGCAGTCGGGTTACTTGCCTCCACTAACGACTCAATAAGATTACGCATCAATAATCAATCATTTCCATAAAGAACGTACCTTGCAATTACTTTGTCAAGCATATGAACCACAAATTCTGCATTCAAAGTGGAAACATGAAGTATTAGATTTGCACCAACTTGATTGTACTAGATACATTATCCATACAGTAGATCTAAAAGCAGTGGTGGATCCAGAAAGTCGTGTGATCACTTGAGCGTTTTAAAAAACTCCAATGTCGAATAACCTAGCTGAACCGAATGGGGTTCAGGTTAAACGTTTTTGCGTTATTTGGTTTTCGAGTTATTCAGAATCCTTAATAAGACACCATTAACGGCAGGAAATCATGCATAATCTGACAAAATTAATAATATGGCAAAAGAAAAGTCTATCTTAACAAAAAAAAGGCTAAAATTGCTGAGAATTACTACACCAAAAGCAATAAATGGGTCATCGGGAGCATGAGTGAGTCATCGAAAGAAAGTTGGGGGCACCATAGAAGAAGGTTGGGGCATGAATGAAAGAAGATTCTGCTTTCTGATATCTTGAACTATGCTCTCTGTTTTCTGATCACTAATTTTTTTATCTCTATTATTATAATTCAACTAGTTCTTCAAATCCTGATTATCTGCATAAAAATAATCATAGAAATGTTCCGATTCTGCTTGCACTTATGTCTTTTCTTTAAACAGCAGACAAAATCACACACCCACGTCTCTAAAGAGGCTTAAACCCATGATCTTGAGGTTGTAGAACTCGATTTAATTTGATACCATTGCCCCAAATGCCACTTGGTCGATATATTCTCTATCTATAGCACTTCCATAAGAAATCAGCTGAGCTTGATCCCCGGCAAACATCCAGAATCACAGAAAGATTTGAAATTTGGAGCACTTAGAAGCAAGTCTACGTACAATATAGATCATTGATCATCGAGATCATTGAAGAAATTTGCAGCAGTATTAGGTTTTTAACAACTGCGACTAATTTCTCCTGCAATGATCTCAATGATCTAAACTGGCTTCACAAGCTGCTAAAGTGCTACTTGTGAAATCTTGGCTATTTCAGTCAAAGTTCCTTTATTTAACATTCAAAAGTGAAACATAGACTCAAACATGACATAAAGAATACATTTTACTGCATAAGTCAAAGTCAACTAAATACAATCAACTCGGAAGTTTCTTATGCCTAAATCCATTCGGTTAGAAGGGAGACACCAATCGCCATTGTGACCACCAAACTCGTAACTAATCATGCATCTAAAGTTAAATACTGAATTATTATGTTTAGTTGTTTTCATAAACCAAACAAAAAAAGGTAATGCAATGAAGAAGGCATGTTACCAGCAGCTTTAAGGAACCATTTAATAATATTAGCTTAAACTATCATTGCCATTCAGCAAGAAATGTCATTAACCAATAAAAAAATGCAACAAACCAACAAAAACAGGAATATTATTAAGAACAGCAAGTATTTTAAACTTCAAGTTGTTGCAATCAAATGAACAAAGACGGATACCAACAAAGAAATAACATTTTAACGGCATATGAATGCCAAAATAAGTTAACAAGACATCATTGTTGAAAATGAAGACAAGAATCTGAATGAACAAAGTACGGTATGGATAATGTTCCCCCCAAAGGTCACCGGTTCAAGTTCCTTCAGGGCTAGTGGAGGGTTTGTTCGCCTGTTAACTTCAGATTCCCATGGGATTAGTCCACTGACACCCACGGTAACCAAAAAGAATGCAACCCCCTCACCATTTTCGTAATCCAAAACGAGCATAACTTGTTTTCATCTTAAAAACCCGACAACCCGGAATCCTCAATCGACAAAAGGATCCACAGCCCTCTAATTTAGTTTTCCATATGTTTGTGGTTTTAAATTTGCTTTCTTCCTCATGTAAACCATATTTCTTGATTGCATCTTTTTATATACATTAAAATAGTACTCTGACAGTTTCCCATTCATCAAACAGATTCCAAACACAAATCAGATTTCAGAAAACAATCAAGAAAAGGAAATGCTGAAAGAACAGTGAGTGAACATAAAGAGAGATAAAGAAATTACTCTTGAACTGTGGCTGGTCTTTAGCAGGATAGTGCTTGGAAGCTTTGATAATCACAACAGGGTATCCATCCTTTGATAACCCTTGTAGATAGATCTTTTCAGCATCCAATTGATCGAGTACTTGTGAATCAGGAATGAACCCTAATGGAACAAACGAAGCCCTCCACTTCTGCCAAGAAACAAACATCTTTGCTGCTTTATTTGGATCCATTGATCTTGCTATCAAGAACCTATCCAGAGTTGGGTCTCCATAGTTCTACATACAACCCAAAACCCATGACGGATTAAGAAATCAAATAGCATTGCGTTAAAGAAAGATCTATATAGATGATTATGATGATATATGTATGTATAAAGATGAACTTCGATCACTTACCTCTGTTGAAGAACCGAGCTTTTGAACACAATTCTTCATCTGGGTGAGTTTGGGTTGTTGATTGTGGTCCATTTTTATGTGACTTTGGATATGAACAGTTCTTGAGATGAAATAGAAATATAAAGAGAGACGTCAATGGGGAAAATTGAGCATGCCGCGATGATGAATGAAAGCAAAGAGTAGAAGAGACAGAAAAAATCGATGTCAAAGTGGGAAATTGGAGAAAGATTTGAGTAAAAAGGAGAAAATCCAAGATATCATTTTCAATTTTCCCTTGAATCCATGGTATCCCACCGATTTGAAGTAGCTATTAAAATCAAAGCTCTCTTGTAACACGTTCTTTCCAAAATATCTTAAATGAATATTAATTTTAGGGGTGTTTGGGATTGTTTAGAAAAAACAACTTATTGACTCGTTTCGGTGTGAGAACGGTAATAAACACTTTTAAGTCTTTGGATAAACAATTTATATTGGTGTCAAATCAGTAATAAGCAGTTTTTGAAAAAGTTAAATATATAATAAGTTGATAAGTGTTTTTATAGAAAAGAATAAGTTATTTCATATAAACAATCTCAAACACCTCCTTACATTAATATGTATGTATCCTTTTTTTTTTTTTAAGGTTGTGTCAAGTAGGAGGGTTTTTGTAGTTTATATATGTGATTCCGTAATTTATTCATTTTATCTGTTCTGTCATATTCTCGTTCTATTTATATTGGTGAGACAAAAATTGATTTTATCTGGTTTTATTATATCATGTCTTTCTTAGGAAGTCAGGGATTCAAACTTTACCAAAGATAAGGAAGATGTGTGAATTTATTTATTTTATTTACCGTATATAAAAAAAACAGATTTTTTGATCAAGCACAATTCATGGAATGGGTATGAGATAAAAAGTGATTAAATGTTCAAATATCTTCTTATGTTTCTTACTTTAACTCTTATTCTCAGATCAAGAAAATACTAGATTTGTTGAGCGTCCATTTAAATTTGATAATTTAATTGCAACAAATAGTCATGTATCTTCTTATCAATGGCTTATCATCAACCTAACAGTTCATCACGAAACTTAGGGTTATCCTTCAATTTATGTTCTCATTGGTACTACAAGACAGTATTATTATCAACTTAATTGATTGCTTGTATGATTTTCGACGCACATGTTATGTCATGAATCTACGCTCATGACGTGGTGTGCACGTATGCAATAGCGGATTCAGTAAGAGCGCAAATGGCATCCCGTGCAACCACAATTTTTTTCCTGCATACTGTAGTTTTCTTTTACGATCCTTAAGAATATTTGCGTTACTGAGAGCGAAGAGAAAGAAATGAAGGAGAATGAAATAAAATAAAATTCCATGCTCTTGAACATGAGAGAAAAAAAGGAAAAATGTCAATTTTACAAATACACCCTTATTTAGTTTATAACGGATTGTAATTGATTGTTAAATGTGTGATTTTATAATTTTTATTTATTTATTTCCATCCCTTCCTTCCTTTTCCTCCCGGTTTTAGGAAAAAAATTTGAAAGGAAAATCAGTCTTATTTTTAGATATGGGAATTGACCTCGACCCGTCAGGGATCCGGTCTACACGCCCTGATCGAGGACGGGGATTCCCCGCTAAACCGGAGATGGGAAACAGGACGAGAATCCCCGTTTGTCTCAAACCAGGGATGGGGGCGGATATTGTACTCCCTGCCCCGCCCCGCCAGTACCCATTATATATTAATTAACAAATTATATATATTATTTATTTCAACTAAATCGGTAATTCATAATTTTCTATTTCATAACTATGTTTAGAATCTAATATTGTTATTTTTTTTGTTAGTTTGTAATATTTGGATGTCAGGTCAATTACTCAATATGTTTTGAATATTACTCGATATAGTTTTATATTAAACGATCTGTATTGGTATGTGTGACGTTAAGTTTTTTTGGATTAAATGATTTTTTTTTGTTTTAGGTTATTAATTGTTATACAATGTTGTGATTTTTTTGTCTTAAATTAAATTTCTTTTCACTGGAAATATGTGAGATTTAAAAATGTACGGTCTCTTACCTATTCGATTTAAAATAGCTTAAATAAACGCGCGCAGGGAGGGTGGTCCCGTTCCCCGTTGGTTATGAGGATAAGGATGTGATCATATGCCCCAACGAGAATAGAGACGAGGACGGGATCGGGAATTGAGGTCCCCGCCCCATTCCCATGCCTACTTATTTTGCTTTCCTAAAAAACTCAAGAACACGAGATTTTTTTTCTTTCCCACTTCCTTTTCTTTTCTCTCTCCCCTTCCTTCATAAAACTAAATCGAGAACACAACATAAGAGCACAATTCGATCCCATGCAACTACAAAAATTTTCTGCACAACGTAGTTTTTACGATACTTAAAGGATGCTAACATTTTGTTTCGTCAAACTACGATCCAACCACATTAAAAAAAAGTAAGCATACCTCTATCGGGTCAAACTTACAAACTAACGTTTTATATGATTTATTTATCATCGGTAAAATTCAATAAACCTGATATTATGACGGTATGGTCAAACGGTGGTTTGGAGGTTGGAATAGAAGTGTCATTGGAGTAATGGGACGTAACGAATTTAATGGAAATTAGTGTGAGGACCCAAATATTAAATAGCATTAATTTTGAAGGCAACAAATGAAATGTTAAAATTCAAATAAAATTAAAAAAAAAAATAGATGAAGGACCACTTTTGTAATTTAATTTATTGCTTTTTACACTTCAGGTACGTGGGACGCTACTGGCCAAATATTTTTAGTCCAATCAGGTTATTATTTTAATTTACATATTTAGTCCTCCAAATAACAACACATCATTGTGGCCAAGCGAAAACTTCTAACGTGTTGTATTCAAGACTATGTCGTTTAGTGCTACCTGTTCAAATTATTGACAAACAATATCGGTCTTTTTGTAACCGGTCTCAATCGTTGACAAGTCTTTCAAAAAAAAAATTAAATTGATTCGAGTTTGGCAGATGCGGCTAGTCTTACGCAATCCTTTTGTTGTATATACTGTTTTTGGGTTTAACCTGGCGTAATCGATGCAGAATAAAGGACTTGTAGGGACCGATAATTGGCAAAGAAAGAAAACTTTAGTTGATTTAGATATGAACTTATGGAGGACTGATTAGACCTATAACGGGTTCATGAAGGCCCAGTTGGTCCAATCTCGATCATGGGTCTTTCTATGCACATTTAGGGGTGTTTGGTTGTCTCTTAATAATGTCATTAAGAGGCAACCTCTGAATCGTGTAGAGGTAGATCCTATTTGGCAAAAAAAAAAAATTAAGTTTTTTAATGGTTCTAAAACCTTTTAACGATTTTGTACCCTTGGTGATACAAAACCATTCAGAGTTTTAGGGGGTGTTTGTGATTGTTTATTTAAGATGCTTATTAACTTATGGGCCGTTTACCAAACACTTACCTGCGTAAGTGCTTATCACAAACACTTACCTGCGTAAGTGTTTATTTAAGGTACTTCATCGGAGGAATATGATAAGGACCAAAAGACCCAGTAAGAACGAGATAAGGACCATGAATATTACCCGGTAAGTGAGGACGACGACTCTTACCACGGTAAACGTTCACCGGGTAAATTGTTGCATAAGATGTCGTTTTGGTGGACTAAAATCTTATCGGTACGTAAATAATAGTGTTATATTTTACCGGTAAGCACTTACCTAGTAAGTGTTTGGTAAACTGCCCCTTATTCTGGTGTGATACTGGTAATAAGAAGTTTTAGTGTTTGGATGGAGATATAAAAGAAATACTTATACCTATTTGACACTAGTGATAATGAGTTTTTGATAAGTTATTTTCCTCTAACTTATTAACTTATTCTAGTATGGTACTGATAATAAGGAGTTTTTAGTGTTTGGATGGAAAAAAAATGGTATGTCATCTATTATATCAGTTTATTCAGTGTGGTACCGTCATAAGCTAATCCAAACACTTTTATAAAACTATGGTTTGCCACCACATAAGTTGATAAACACTTTTATAAAAAAAACATAAATTGTTTTGAATAAGCAATTTTAAACACCCCCTTAGTTTTTCCCTATTTGCCCTTCAAGAATCGTCTCCCTCTTCAGACACTTTCTCCTTCCGCACCGCTCTCCTTCTTCCCACACCAATTTCTCCAACGTTCTCCCTCCTCCGGCAAGGATTGTCCAGCAAGGGCTGTCTTTATCGTCTCCGTCGATCTCTGCTCTCTCAAGGTATGTGATTTTCTGTTTTTTTTTCCCGTTTCTTGTTCATTCATGTTCTCTCCATTTGATCTCTTCTCTCTCAAAGGTTTGTGAGCGGGTTTTTTATTGGCTTCTTCTCTACATGAAAATGTTAATTTGTTGTTATTCAGATTGTTCATTCAAAACAGTTACTAAACAACCATACTGCATTTTGCACTATATCATGCAAAGCCTCTTAAGCATTCCGACTATTTAACCATTCAACAACCGCCAAACAATCTCTTAATAAACATTACGTATCAAATCAAACATTGTAGTTTTGTGAATGAAATATCCCTCTGTGGCCCAACTCATTTTGATGAAACCTTTCACTCCCTCCCTTAGCAGTTGTTCTTTTCATATATTATAAACGTTAGTTTTTGCAATCATGCTCCAATGATTACCTTGGTTGATAGTTTTGTTGAATGTCTTTTAATTTCTTGTTCTTTTAGTTTAAAGATAAATTAATTCATCTAATGTTAAATATTAATATACGCACAAACCGGTTCATCAAATGTAATTACATAAATTAAATAATAGTATAATTTGCTATATGGTTAACCACAAGGATGGTGTCTAATTGGTTTGAGCTTGGATCCAAAGATCAAAAGTACATGGAGCTCTCAGGTTCAAATCTAAGGAGGAATAAAAATCCCCTTGTGGCCACGGAGGTTCAAATGCAGTGACTCCCCGGGCTATCTGCAAAGTAGATAGTCGCCCTGAAATTGGTCGGCTCGCATAACGGGTTGGATATCCATATTAATAAAAAAAACAATCAAAATTGAAACTTACTTTATTTGGTTAATCAAACCGTTTAACCCATAAAACAAATAATCTAAAACCTGAATAAGTCTCATAAAAAAATGGGCGATTAATCATTGAATAATATATAGTGGTAAACGTTAGATTATGGCGCTTATTTTAAATACGAGATTAATAGGCAAGGCATTAGATTTAAAACGTCAACCGAGACTCAAGTCGAGGGGCTTCGACATCTTGAAGCGCGACAAACTTTGCCTCCCCGCCAAATACTTCTGGAAGCACCTCTTTCCCAACTTCTGTAACGAAGTGTTTTCTTTCTTCCTCACTCGTCACAATCATAATCTATATTCACAATTTCAAGTCAAAACATCGACTTCTTTTTTAGTTTCATAATCGAACATGAATCATTCCTTAAAAGGTCTACTTTGACCCCAAAAAAGTCAAAGATCGAGTGTAAAGATTGTGCGTTAATTAAAAAAGTACGACATACCTTGTGCAATGTTGCTTTCTCAAGGAAATATGAAATCATCTTCCAAACACTCACGAAAAAACGTGGCATATTTAACATGTATAATTTTGCTAATCGTTCCGGGTAGTAGGCCTACGCAAAGTTAACCAAATTAAGAACACAACATAGAATTAAATGCCAAAAAGCTTGAGCGTTTTAGAAAGCTATTCATCGATTTCCCATTTGGTCATATGGAAGTTAAATAAGAACAATGTGCGGTTGGTACATGGATGCGACAAGACTGGACAAATGAGAGTGCCGTAGGCATGTGAAAATATTGTGAAATATTTTAGGTTTTAATTTGATACGGATAGTTTAGTAATTTATCAAACTTTTTTTTATCTCCCTGATTTTTGTTCCACCAATTTCTATGTGTTGGAAAAAATGCATTTTAGTCTCCCTCAGATCATGTCCTATCCTTGTCTAAAGTCGCACCAAATAGAGAAAACGCACCCTCAAAGACGAAATTTACCTGTAGGAATTGAAATGCAGAGATTAATCCATGAGCGTCAACATTCTTATAACTTACTTGCTGCAGATCAATGATCACAACAATCTTCTCATTTCCAATTTCGTTGCCTCTGATTGCACTGCAATGTCACATAAAAATGAAAAATCTTATGAACCAAAACCAGTGATAATAACCATACATTACTAGGTCATGCTAGCTTAAAGTTTTTTTTTTAAGTATATAATATTTATATACGATAAATGCAACAAATAAACTCACACACTCTCTTCATCTTTAGTAAGGTTTGAACCTCTGACTCCTAGGAGGATTAAGACTATGATACCGGTAGGCCAAAGGCCTTTTGGTTGTTACGTTAAAGTTTCTTCTAACAGTAGAAACTTTTTAACTAATGTAATCCAAAATCAAGAATCGTTGTATAGCAGTTATTTTTAAACTTCATAGAGAAGATCACATACCTTGCAATTCCTTTGTCAAGGACATGAACCACAAATTCTGCATTTTATAGGACAAGTAATTTGCATTTGTAAGAGTGCAGTGAGTTCAAATTGAAACAAAGTACCCATTTGACCAATTTTTGAGTGGCAAACAGGCATTTGCTGATCCAAAATGGACATGGTTTCGTTTCTAAGATCCAAAAAGAAGTTATAAGATTAGAAAAGTTACACAACAATTGAAGATTAAATGAAACAGAAGGTGAAAAAAAGAAGAAAATTACTCTTGAATTGATGTTGATCTTTAGCAGGATAATGCTTGCTAGCATTAAGAATCATAAGAGGATGTCCACTGTTGCACAAACCCTGAAGAAATATCTTTCTAGGTTCCAACTGTTGAACAACTTCAGAATCAGGGATGAATCCTAACGGAACAAAAGAAGTCCTCCACTTTTGCCATGAAACAAACATATTTGCTGCTTTATTTGGATCCATTGATGTTGCTATCAAAAACCTCTCTAGTGTTGGATCTCCATACTTCTACATACAATCCAAAACTCATGATTGATAACAATATAATACAATACAAATAAACATGAATGCGCTTTTTGCTTCAGAAAAATTGCAACATTTTGTTCAACTAATCGCTTCAACAATCACAAAGCAAATAAAATCGCATCGAACAAAAACATTCTTATCAATGATTTGTATGATAACAATTAACAACATACTACTGAATATTCAACTCAATTACAATACGCGACAGTACGAGATGTTGAATTTCGGAATTCAGGAACAGAAATATCACGTCATTGGCCATCGAACGAAGAAGAGGAAACAAGTAACCGCAATCTAGCAAGTTCTATTGCTTACCTCCACGGAAGATCCGAGTTGCTGAATGAATTCCTTCATCTGAGCGAGTTTGAGTTCATGATCTTTTGCCATTTCTAGGGTTTGCAAAATCCAGTGGTTGAAGTTGAAAGAAAAGGGAAGAAGAGTTGTCAGTATATATGGAGGTAGAAATGGTGGATTTGAAGCTCAACTCGTGGTCTGATGGCGGAATTGTATGGATGTCAAAATTTAACGGATATGTATATATATTTTTTACAGGCAAAGGATAGTAAAGAAACTGAGGTATCATACAATTCCTTCCTTCCAAATCAATGCAAAAACTAATTATAAACATATAAAAATGAACAAAAAAAACATTTAAAAAATTAGTCACTTATATTATTTTATAATATAGATACAATAAATATTTAATAATATAATATATTAATGTAAATAAAATGGGGAAAAAATTAAAATATAATATTAATTTAAAAAATTTAAATTGATTATTATATATATTACAAATTTTGAATGTATTAAAAAAAATTCTAAAATTAATTTATGATATTAAATAACTATTACATATAATATAAATAAAATAAAATTGGTCAACCTCATATATCTTAATTAATTGTAAAAACTATATTAATGATTGAAATAAATATTTTACTAAAACTATTTAATATAATTTTATTATCTATGAAACAAAATAAATATAACTTTAATTTTTATGTAACTGATATAAAAATTATTAGAATTGTTATATATATTTTTTGATAACTAAGTATATTGAATAATAAATAAAAATAATTGATAACTCTAAATTATAAATAATTAATATTAACATATAATTAAAACTAATTAATAATTTTTAACTAATATTAATTACTATTAATATTAAAAATAGCTAATTTTTATTTATTAATAATTAATATTTATTTGTAGTTAATATTAATAAAAGTTATAATTAGAAAAAATAACAAAAAAACAAGTTAATTTGTACTCATTTAAATACATTAGAAATTGAGATAATATACTTATTTTAATTTAATGTGTAAATACTTATGAAATTTAATATATATGTGTGTGTGCTCCTAATTAAATGAAAACCGGATAGTTTGTGGTAACTATAAGATTCAACATGAGCCAATCATGCTAGATAATTAATGTTATTTACTAAAATAAAACAAAAGGTAAATTAGTAAATTGTGTTGATTATTCAATTTACTTTAATTAATATAATATTTCAATTTACTTTAATTAGTTTAATTATTTTAATATGTGTGTATATGCACACACGAACACACAGATACCAAATCCGGTGGCCTTCTCCGGCACCCACCACCACTCCGGTGACCTCCTTCGGTTATCTTGTTTGACCAAGACACCGTTTCCGATGATCGACCACTAAACATCCAACTTAAACTTATTTAATTTTAACTATGCTTTTAAGTAACCGTTATTTTTTTTATCAACACCAATCTCCATTTCAATAAATGGTCTAGTTAAATGTAAGTATTAATAAATAACTTGTACCAATCTGTGGGTTCTATACCCAATTTATGTGATAAGTCAAAACAGTGAGAAATCGTATTACAATAAACTATATAAAAACGACTTGATAGTTGTTCTAATAAATGCAACAAATCGTTTTCAAAATATAAGAATTACTGTTGAATATGGTATTATTTATATTTAATAACATTATACCTTTTTTATTTTTATTTTATTTTATAATGTATTAATTAAATAAACTTTGGTAAGGCTACCCATTTGTTACTTCTCTAGTACTGTCCATATGTTAATTGTTATAACTGATTCAATTTAGGATTATTCATTTGCTAAGTGTTGATTTTAATTGATCTGTACATTAAACAACCATGGATATGTATTTAATAAAAAGATGAACAACCGGTTCGGTGATTCCTCACCTATTTATTCATTTATAACCGACGCTCCCCCACGAACCAAATCCTGGTTCTGCTCTTTTTATACGTTTCATAAAAAATGAGCGATTGACATTAAATGTAAAACGCCAATCAACTTGTTTAATTATGTAACTTATTTTAAATACGAGATTAATAGCCAAGTTAACAGAAATCGGAAGACATTAAATGTAAAACGTCAATCAACGCTCGAGCCGTGGGGCTTCAACATCTTGAAGCGCGACAAACTTTGCATCCCCACCAAATTCTTCTGGTAGCGCTTCTTTCCCAACTTCTGTAACGAAGCGTTTTCTTTCTTCCTCACTCTTCACAATCACAATCTGTATTCACAATTTCAAGTCAAAACATTGACTTCTTTCTTACTTTCATAATCAAACACGATTCGATCCTTTGAAAAGGTCTACTTTGACCCCCAAAAAAGTCAAAGATAGAGCGTAAGATTGTGCTTTACTTAAAGAAGTACATACCTTGTCCAATGTTGCTTTCTCGAGGAAATATGAAATCATCTTCCAAACACTCACCAAAAACCATGGCATATTTAACATGTATAATTTTGCTAATCGCTCCGGGTAGTAGGCCTATGCAAAGTGAACTAAAATAAGAACACAACACATAATTAAATGCCACAAAACTTGAGCTTTTAGAAAGCTATCAATCAATTTGCCATTTGGTCATGTGGAAGTAAAATAACGAAAATGAGGTGTTTCGTACATGGATGTGACTAGACTGGACCCATGAGAGTGCGTAGGCATGTGAAAGAACTGTGAACGGTTATATGATTCAAAATTGATATAGGGAATTTACCAATCTTGTCCAATCTTCCTGATTTTTGTTCCACCTATTTTGGTAGGATAGTTAAAAATGAATTTTATTCCCCTCAAGATCCTGTTCCATCCCAGTCTAATGTCGCACCAAACATGAGACAACAAATTTTTGTATTGTCTTATCCCATGTAACAAACGGCACCCTCAAAGACAGAAATTTACCTGTAGGAATTGAAACGCAGAGATTAATCCATGAGCATCAACATTCGTATAACTTATTTGATGCAGATCAATGATCACAACTATCTTTTCATTTCCAATTTCATTGTCTCTGATTCCACTGCAATGCCCCATGAAAATCGAAAATCTTATGAACCAAAACCGCTGATGATGACCATATGTTTAACCAGGTCATTTTAGGTTAAAGTTTCTTCTAAAACACTATGTAGCAAGATTTTTAAACTTCATACAGGAGATCATGTACCTTGCAATTCCTTTGTCAAGAACATGAACCACAAATTCTGCATTTTATAGGGACAATTAATTTGGATTTGTTAATAGTACAGTGGATTCAAATTGAAACAAAATGGCCATTTGACCAATTTTTGAAAGGCAAACAGGCATTTGGTGATCCAAAATGGACATGGTTTTGTTTGTAAGATCCAAAATGGAGTTATAGGATTAGATAAGTTACAAAACAATTGAAGAACAAATGTAAGAGAAAGCGAAAAAAAGGTAGAAAATTACTCTTGAATTGATGTTGATCCTTAGCAGGATAATGCTTGCTAGCATTAAGAATCATAAGAGGATGTCCACTGTTGCACAAACCCTGAAGAAATATTTTTCTAGGTTCCAATTGTTGAACAACTTCAGAATCAGGGATGAACCCTAACGGAACAAAAGAAGTCCTCCATTTTTGCCATGAAACAAACATCTTTGCTGCTTTGTTTGGATCCATTGATGTTGCTATCAAAAACCTCTCTAGTGTTGGATCTCCGTACTTCTACATACAATCCAAAACTCATGACTGATAACAATATAATACAATACAAATAAACATGAATGCGCTTTCTGCTTCATAAAAATTGCAACATTTCGTTGAACTAGTCGCTTCAACAATCACATAGCAAATAAAATCGTATCGATCAAAAAAACATTCTTATCAATGATTTGTATGATAACAATTAACAACATACTACTGAATATTCAACTCAATTACAATGCGCAATAGTACGAGATGTTGAATTTCGGAATTCAGGAATAGAAATATCACGTCATTGGCCATCGGACGAAGAAGAGTAAACAAGTAATCGCAATCTAGCAAGTTCAATTGCTTACCTCCAAGGAAGATCCGAGCTGCTGAATGAATTCCTTCATCTGAGCGAGTTTGAGTTCAGGATCTTTTGCCATTTCTAGGGTTTGCAAAATCCAGCGGTTGAAAGAAAAGGGAAGAAGAGTTGTCAGTATATATGGAGGTAGAGATGGTGGATTTGAAGCTCAACTCGTGGTCTGATGGCGGAACTGTATGAATGTCGCATTTTATCGCATATATATAATTAAAAATGATTTTTAACCATTCTTATTTTCATATGTTAATCTATCTATTTATATACAAAGAAACGTCAAACATTGTTAAGAGTATGATTTTCTTAAAGGAGTTTTCTTATTATTTTAATTTTTTTTTAAATATCAAATAAGTTAAAAGACGTTTTTACCCTTGGACAATTTAAAGAAATTCAAACATTTATTAGGTTACAAAAACAAACAATTTTATTTTATTCAAATTTCAAACTTCAACATAACCTTTTAACTGGCAGAACTTGAATAAAACTTTAGACTTCAGTAGCTCTTAAAAAACAAATGTCACGTAAGACATGTGTTTTGCCACTTCATCTTTAGCTGCTAACATTCTTACTATTTACATTTTGATCCCTTGCTTGATATTCGTGTTTTATTTAATAGTTTTTTTTTTTTTTTGTAAGGGTGTCCGGGCCAAAGCCCGACTAATCCCGGCAAATTTGGAGGCTAAACATGGCCCCACTTAAATATCGCCAACACTCCCCTCCCAGGGCTCGAACTCGGGTTCATGACTATGCCATGCCCAAGCCTTTACCACTAGGCTAGAAGGTCTTTGACTTAATGATATACATATATTTATTGTAGAAACCGAATTTGTACTACCCTTCAGAATCTTCCTAACATATCCATCTCCCAATTATTAGGAGAGCCGTAAATCATTGTGACCTTGGACAAGGTGGGAGAATATACATTCTTCTTTCCATTAAAACGGTTTAGTCACACATGAAGGTATCATTTGCAATTACATTACATTATTTATATCGTGTTCGATAAATTCGTGGGCATATATGCATGCAGATCTAATAAATTGACTTGGAGCTGTAAGTACTTACCTGATAAGCACTTATCAGGTTATTTACCTTACCAGATAAACATCGCAAGAGTCGAGAATCTTACCTGGTAAAAGAGATGGTAAGGATAAATAGTCTTCTCCGATAAGTGAAAATGATGACTCTTACTCAGTAAATTGTTTCATATGATACTTTTTGATGGACAACAATCTTATTCGGTAAATAAGTTAAAATATTGACTCTTATTAACAAGCATTTACCGAATATTCAACCCCTTGCATCTATTTTACCAGCGTTATACATATCACAGACAACTAGCATGGTCTTGTCTAGAGGTGATCATTTGTGGGTCCGGCCGGTCCTAGGTCGGGCCTAACTTGTTTCTTTTTGTCCAACGAGCTTTATATTGTAAACCCAAACCCTTTTTTCCGTGCTTGACAACTTGCTATTGTCTGCACTATAAACGGGCCGGGCTTGTCTACGGGCTAACGGACCTAAAAAGTGTAATTCTATATTAACAAACGTGGAACCAAAAAGTAAAGAAAAAACACAATTGCAATTAAAACTTTAAGCAACTACCGACTCTATCCATTGTTGATCGATTAAGACTTTTGACATAAGGATGCTAACAAATATAATGTAGAGCCTTTTGGGTTCTCAAGAAAAATCAAAGAGTCCCAACTTCCGTCCTATAACTTTAATAATTTAATTTTAAAATATACTAGCATAATTTTAATTAATGGTAAAAAATAGTAATTATAAAACATAAACAGGCCAGACGGACCTGTCCATATTTATTTTTACATTGTCCATGTCCATCCGTTAATTTTAATGAACAAACCCGGGCCCATCCATTCTCTCGATAATGGTTGTCCAAGCCCCTATTTCTAGCGGGCCGGATGGACCGGGTCTAACGGGTCGTCCCGACCTTGAACAACTCTAGTCTTGTCTAATTCAATTTCGTCATATTCAGTTAATGTAACAAACAAGTTCAATAACAATTAGGCAAATACATCAGCTCCCATTGTGTTATAGTGTTGGAAACACCCATCAACATTCGAGTTGGTGTGCTTCGACATCCTGAAGTGCAACAAGCTTTGCGTTACCACCAAATTCTTCTGGCAATGCCTCTTTCCCAACTTCCATCACGAATTCTTTTCTTTGTTCTTCATTGTTTACTATCACAATCTGCGTTGACCGTTAAAAGTCAAAATGAATACCCATAACGAAAACTTTGCGTAAAATGGTTCAATCGATGTGAAGTACCTTGTTCAATGTTGCTTTCTCGAGAAAACGAGAAACCATCTTCCAAACACTCACGAAAAACCACGGCATATTTAATACGTACAATCTTGCTAACCGTTCTGGATAGTACGCCTACATAAAACGAACCTAGTAATTAATTAAATACAAAATTAAACCCTATACAACTCGAGTGATCACACGTAAATCAGTAAAGAATATTCGGGGATGAAGATTTACCTGTAAAAATTGAAATCCAGAGATCAATCCACGAGCATCAACGTTCTTATAACTTAGTTTTTGCAGATCAATTATCACGACTATCTTCTCGTTTCCGATTTTTGTGCCTTTGATTCCACTGCAAAGTGATCCGCTCATAAAAGTTACAACGATTAAGCTGATGACATCTTGATAACACTGTTCGCTCGGTTGAAAAATACTTTCCGATTATATTAAATAGGATGACGATACAAGGTAACTTTCATTCTAGTCAAAAATAAAAACCTTATAATTATGCTCACTCCGTACCAAAATAAGTGTACACAACAAAAAAGAGTTTTAGAAAAATGTAATTATTGTATTTTTTTTTAATGAACTAAATGTCAGTTTTACTCTTAATAATCGATGGAGCATTAAGTTCTCCATTTTATAATCAAAGGTAAAATGAGAAAGTATACACTTATATTTTTTTAAAGTGGACGCTTAGGGATCGTGTACCAAATGCGTACCAGGTGATGTCAGGTGAAAACGACAAGAACCGAAAATCTTACTCCCATCGAGAATCTTACCCCACAAGTGAGCAAGTGAAGGAGAAGACTCTTACCCAGTAAAAGTTGGTTACCCAACAATCCGTTTTGATTCATCGAAAATGTTATCCGATAAAGTTTACTCAGGTTGTGACTTTTGCCGTTGAAGAATGGTCCTTTATTTTAAAATAAACTAAAATAGAAATGTGGATAGGGAGGGGAGATGAAGAAGATCACATACCTGGCAATTCCTTTGTCAAGGAGATGGACCACAAATTCTGCATTTCACAAGGGGGAAAATAAGTTCTAATTAGAAATATAAATTCCCATCTAACATTTGACTTTTGATGGGTGTCGTTTTTCCTTGTAAGCTCCATCAATGATTTACGCAATTAGACGAGTCAAAATGCAATATATGAATGAAATACAAAACAACCGAAAAATAAATAAAATGAAAGAGAATGGGAAAACAGTTACTCTTGAACTGATGATGATCTTTAGCAGGATAATGCTTGCTAGCATTAAGAATCATAAGAGGATGTCCACTGTTGCACGAACCCTGAAGAAATATTTTTCTAGATTCCAATTGTTGAACAACTTCAGAATCAGGGATGAATCCTAACGGAACAAAAGAAGTCCTCCATTTTTGCCATGAAACAAACATCTTTGCTGCTTTATTAGGATCCATTGATCTTGCTACCAAAAACCTCTCTAGTGTTGGATCTCCATACTTCTACACATAAACCAATGATTCATAACAAATTCATCGACGACTTCCATATCCTTATAATCGAAATCTATTTTAAAAAAAAACATGATGATGAAATAGTTTTAAAATTCCCGCAATTTTGAAGTTGATTAGGTAGTTCGTTATTCGTACTCTTTTGGTACATGAACAAACAGAGAGCAATTATGCTGAATTTGGTATAGTGCCATCAAAATCTCGGTAAAAACGTCTAAAATATTATCAAATACGATTAAGTTTGAAATCAATATAATAAACATTTCGATTGTAAATTGAAAAAATAGTTACGACATTAAACAATTTATTAAGGGGAATAAAACCTGGAATCAGTTTCAGTTCTGAATTCCAAAACAAATCTCGAAATTCTCACCACGTTCTCCATTGAAAGAGGAAAATTAATCAACAAATGGTAGACTAGGAAGATCAGTTACGTACCTCTGCGGAAGAACTGAGCATTTGAACAAATTCCTTCATCTGAGTGAGTTTGAGTTGTTGCTGGTTCGCCATTTTAGAGTTCAGTAAAAGGGAGGAAATTGGGTCAATATATAGAGGCGGAGGAGAGGGTGTTCTGCGAGTATAGTTTTTATTTGAATATTAGAAGTCAATAATGGAACGCCAAAAACAACATATGAGACTCTCTTGTCAAGTTTTAAATTGTGAGTTACTGACTTATGAGGGTAAATTTGTGATATATATATATATATATATATATATATATATAAGGGAGCGTTCAAATAAAAACCACTTAATTTGTATAAACCGTGCAAACCATATTCAACCAATCATAATTTTTCATTTTGTTTATTTTTTGTAATTATGAGAGGTTGATTAACCATTTTTATTGTGGAGGGTGTTAATCATTGATATTATCATCTTCATTATTTTAATTTTAGAGAAATACATGAAACAGTTTCATTAAAATCTCATTAAATATAATATAAAATAATTTCATAACCATATATGAAACAAATTTATAAAAAAAGTATTATATGAAACAATTTCATAAGATTAAACAATTTCATGAAAAAATTTCATAAGATTAAACAATGAAATCAACGTATTAAGTTGGTTTGTACAATTTGTACAAATGATGGTGGTTTTTATTTGATCACTCCTCTCTCTCTCTCTCTATATATATATATATACTAGTTGTGTACTAGCGCAATGCGGCGGGAGCCAAGATTTTTAAAGATTTTGAAGTTTCACTGGTTTTATAAGATAAGATTTAACGATGATATAGGTTACACTTGGTCTTTACATATTAATACAATTTGAATAAATAAGAGTTATGGTTCAAATTACAGACTATCGATGAAAAAAATTGTATGACAGTTTAAAATTCAATATATTTAAAATCCAATATATTTAAACGACTCCACAAATGTGTTCGATTTACACCAAGGGCAAAAAACCAAGAAACTTAAGTTTTAAGATAAACACTCAAAACCAATAAAGAAAACTACAAACTTAACAGATCATAAGCCATGAAAAGACCAAAAAATATGAGTTTTAGAATGAAATTTCAACTGTTTATCCTATTTCTTGTCCAGAAACTCAAATTAAGGTTGAATTAATACATGTATATATTTATTTTAAAAAAACCCAAGAACATAATAATTCAGAACATATTATATAGTGCAATTTGGACAGCCTAACCCCAAAATATATAGTATATATATAAATAAATAATTATAAAATTATAAATCGTAAATATTAAAAATATTTTTTCACGGTATATATAATATATAATAATATAATTAAGTCAAAAACTATTCAATATTAGACTCATTTCGAAGACATTAAATAGACAATTATAATGGTGTAACTTGTTAAAATAAAAATGTATTTTTTTTAAACATGTTTTAATTGATATACGATTATGTATATTAATTTGATAAAGATTTAAAATGAAACATTTAAAAGTAAATGACGTAAAATAAATAAATTAACTAATTATAGGGGTATAAAGTGTAAATTTAAAATTACAATTAAAAAAAAGGGTTGTGAGAGGGTGAGTGTATGTGAGGGGGTGAGTGCATATGAGGAGATGAGGGGGGTGAAAAAGTGTATAAAGTGTATCTTGGTCATTTACTATTTTAAGACTTTAAGACTTTTGCTAAATTTGTTTTATAAGATAGTATAGATATCTATATAGCGGTGGGTTCAAATAAAAATCACTCAATTTGTACAAACCGTAAAAACCTCATTCAA